TTTACAGGGTAAATATAAATTAATATTACGAACTACAGAAGTATTAATTATGAAGTAGTGTTTAAATGTATAATTAACTGCTGTTTTAAAAAATATATATGTGTTTTGTGTTTGTTAAATGTAACAGTATAGGGTTTTTTTAGCTTAGAGTAATAGAGTAAAATTGTTTGGTTTTAACAAAAAAACAGTTGAATATTGACATTGAAGTAATACGTACTTACGTACTAGAACAGCTATCTCAAACAAAAAATGTGCGCTACTCTGTGTTCGCGCGGTTGTTTTTTTAATCATAGAATAAACATAGGTAGAAGGATCCGTAGGTAATAGTAGATTGTATTGTTAAATAGGTAAATTATATTGAGAACAATATTTAAGTTTTTCCATTTATTTTGTATATTATATTTGCGTATTTAATATAATATTACATAATATTATATTACAATGACATTTTACTGATATTTTTATCTGAATATTTAAAAGGTATCTATGTCAAATATAAAAAACATACTAAATGTATATTTAATAAAACTTATTAACATAACATTTAAATTACAAATATATTTATTTAAATTAGAATAAGAGTCGTTCATAAATGCCGGGCACGCGAGAGTTAAAAGTGCACGATTTATTCCACTTTGACTTTTATGTGGAAACCAAAAAATAAAATAAAAGAATAAAAGGCAGATTTAAAGATGAAAAATTCAGCCTAATTATAATAACTTATATGTGTTTCTACAAATAAATGTGTATAATAATATATTCGTCCTATACTTAAGTACCCACAGAAATGTCGCATCTGAACATATTAATTTCATAATCTATATTTCATGACACGAGATGGCGTCTTAGCAATAATTTGTTTTACTATTATTCTATAATACTTTTTTATTGATTAATTATCTTATTAACCGATGAAAAGTAATTCCTTGGTTTTAATGACATTTCTTGAATTATTTGTGCAATATCTAAGTACACACGACGGCATATTTTTATCAAGAGATTTATTTAAAATCAACACAACACGTGACAACTCTACAAGCGCCTAGCGAGTGACTTGGAGTGACTGATTCAAGTGCGGTGTATGCACTGCAGTTGTGTGGAACAGGGTAGCTGAATGCAGTGTCGCCTCTAGTACGTAGTACATAATAATCTCAATGAATATTGATATTAAATATTAAACAAAGAAGAAAATAATCTACATTTCAATTTATCAAGTCATTTAAACACTTCTCTGTCTTTATTTGTTTTGAAGAATCGTCTTTGCGGAGAAATATGCGCGCATTCGTAGACCAACAATATTTATAATGGTTGTCCTTTGCGAACTGACGTGCCTGGGCGAAAATTTTCCTAGTGGTAAGAGGTGTTCAGATACAAAAATTGGTTGCTTTTACCTTCAATTCCAATGTGCGTTGTATTTAGTTTTTCATCAATTGGACGTTTTGAGTTGAAGGATCTAGCAGCTTGTAATAAATCATTTTTAAGAAGACAGACGTAAATTCAGCTACAATAATACCACTGGAACCAGATTTATTGGGCAGTCGATAAACATCACGGACGTCGGATTAATTTCTAAATTAAGGGCAGTACCGATACGAGTGACAATAGAATTGATCACTAGTGGATTCTTTACCTTTTTTTGCAGGAATATTACGAAACTCTATGGTAGCTTTTAAGGAGGAACGTTGCAGGGATTCTATATTTTGTTCTAACTGCTGTATGAAAGCCCGATTTTCAGAGCATTTAATTTTCAAAGAACTAATTTTGCTCATAATTGATGTGATAAATGTTCAACAGATTTCTCAATCTCTGAATTGGAGTTTTTCATTTCCTGTATTTTGCTTTTTATATCTTTTATATCTCTTTGAAGACGAACACGTTCCTCTTCATTTGAAGACATCCATGAAGAAATCATTTGTTTAATGTCTTTTAATTCTTCCAAAAAGTCATCGGAGCGATGGCGCTTATTATATCGCATTTGTTAACTACGTACATGTTGATGGGGATGTTTTTTTTTTCTGTTTCAGAATCGGAGAATGATTGTTGCATATTTAATGACATATATAATAGTCCAATGTGTAATGTAAACTATAATTGAAGGTAACTATTAAGGCCGAATACGAAGAGAACTGGCGAAAATTAATGTATTTCTCTTGACTAGAACTTTGACCTGAAGTAATTCTAAGCTTTAAAACATTTTTGTAGGTTTGTTCGGGTCCTTCACAATGTCACCGTCATTTTGTATGAAAATTTAAAATATATCTCATGAACCGTAAGTTTCCGCAACCTAAAACTTTGCAAAACGCTTTCTTTTAGTGAGTACTATCTACAAAAAAAAATATGGGCTTTGAAATCGATGGTCCATATTGGAAAGATTTACCGAATTTACATACACAGTACCTATCCCCACTATGGGGCAATCACCGACTTTTTAGTTTTTTTTTTCCTTATTATTTATGCAATTTGCATTACGGCATCTTGTAAGACTCACAAGAACAAACATTTTTAGTTATATGAGATTCTTTACGTACGATGCACCAATAAAGAAAAAAATCGTTATCAATTCAATAACTTTTCGAACAATATTTTATAACGAATAAAGTACAGAATTTATAATCTATTGGAACTAATATTATAAATAAGAAAAATTTATTTAAGAAGTAAGCAATGCTCTCTGTGTTGTTCATTACTCTGCATCTGAGCTAGTTCAGTCAAATATAATCAAAGCCCGTACGGCTTTGATTATAGGTATTATACATGTCTATATAAACAAAGCGTAGGTACTGGCGGCGCGTGGTTTGCTGCGAAACTAGCAAGGTCATTCGCGTCGTATTCGGCCTTAACGCACACTAATAAAGGCCCTAACAGCATCGACCAGTACATACTATTCCGCGTGAAGAAGGTCGTAAGCGCCGTGAATATGAGGGCGCTTACGCGTTTTATCGAGACACTACATTTATTACCAAATACTCCGAGAAATTGAATCTAAACGTCAATTCGATGATACCTTCGTGTGCAAAACCTCCCAAGTTGTATGGGTTACCAAAAATACACAAACCTAACGCTCCATTACGTCCAATAGTAAGTCAAATCGATTCGCCAACGTACAGATTGGCTCAACACTTAGCCAAAATATTATCACCTTTCAGAGGACACACAAGAGCTACTACATACTAAGGATTCATACCATTTTGTCAGTGAGATAAAAGACCTACGTCTTGCTGACAATGAAACCATGGTCAGTTTTGATGTTCAGTCTCTATTCACATGCCTACCTGTTGAAGACTGCATCTCAATTATAACTAGGAAACTAGATGAAAATAACATGCCACCTGCTCACATTGCCTTACATCTGGCTATCTATTGTGGAAGGAAGAGTTTTACAAGCAAGTAGATGGTGTTGCGATGGGCTCACCTGTATCTCCCATTGTCGCCGATATATTCATGGAAGACTTTGAGGAGAAAGCCCTCCTTACTGCACCTGTTACCCCAAGGTTCTACGAGCGGTACGTAGACGATACTTTCACAATTTTACCATCAGACAAAGTAACTGCATTTTTAGAACATCTTAATTCCATAAACCCTAAAATTCAATTTACTATGGAGTTAGAGGCAAATAATTCCTTAGCTTTCCTAGATGTGTTAGTCATCCGAAATACTAACAACACCTTAGGTCATACTGTGTATAGAAAAAAGACCCATACAAACCGATACTTAAATGGTGAATCTCACCATCATCCTTCACAGTTAGCTACCGTGGGCAAATCTTTGTTTCAGAGAGCACGAGGGATCTGTGACAGCAAACACCTGGCCGCCGAGCTTCAGCACATCAAGCAGGTTCTGCACGACAACAAGCTTCGGGTCCCGCGCCTCCGTCACAGTGACCGAGTGAAGCCGGCCACAGTCGAGCGTGTGCCTGCTATACTACCATATGTCAGAGGTGTCACAGACAAGATTGGCTACATCTTGAAGCGAGCTTCTATTAGAACATTCTACAAGCCGCCGAAGAAAATTAGTCAGTTCTTACCATCCGTCAAGTGTCATATTCCTCTACAAGATGCAGGAGTGTACAAGCTTGATTGTGATTGTGGTCTCTCATATATAGGACAAATAAAGAGATCAATTAGAACCCGCGTAAAAGAACACATAGCTGACGTGAAGCATCAACATTCCGGGAAGTCTGCAGTTTGCGATCATATTCTAGATGGCCCCAACCATTACATCAGATTTGATAGACCAAAAATCCTCGCGAAAGAAAATCGATTCCTACCAAGGATGATACGGATGACGAGGCTATTGAAATTAAAAAACATTCTATCAAAATCATTCTAAATTATTAGGACAATCTCACGTCTGGCTTTTTGTACTTGCCATAGTCTAACAGGCCTTATAGTAAACTACAGTACTATTAAACACCAACAAAATTATAACCACATATAACCTTTATATATTTATACGTGGTAGATCCATGCTGCAGTTATATTAGAAGTATAGTTGTAGCACGAATGGGTCGGCTCGACCGGGGAAGGACCACGCTCTCACAGAATACCAGCGTGAAATAGTAGCTTAATACTGCTGTGTTTTGTATAGTGAGTGGAGAGAACCGGAGACCCTTTTTAATGGAAACGAGGCATTCCATCTTAGTCCTCACGTGTGACAACGCATCTGTATTTTGATTTGTAATCGAGGATAGATGTAGATGTCTATGGGCCACAGCAACCACTTACCATCAGGTGGACTGTGTACACGTTTGTCACCCTATCCTATAAAAAAATCTATAGATCGCAAATAAACTTATTGAGTATTGAATAGTTTTTTACCACTTTATATTTAAAAACCTATAGAAGATCAAGGGCCCCTCGATATAATTTGCTACGGGCCCCGCGCTTGCTTAATCCAGCACTGGGTATGACTTCCACTAAAAAAGACTCAAGTAGAATAACTATTTATTGATTGATCGAACTTTTTAATACACTATTGGTAATAAATACACGTACAATCATTTATAAATATTTTCCGTGCCATTTGTGATCAAATGGTGACAGCATTTTGTGACATCCCCCCATGTTATTTTGTATGATGTACTTCATAGTATATGGATTTTGATTATTTTCTTCTTTCCATTTTTCTTCAGCTTCCATTTTTTCCATTATTTTTTGAGAAACTGCCATGGCTTTAAACGGAAGTCTCTCTGCCACTATTTTCAACATTTTGTATGCCTGATAAATGAAAAAAAAAATTTAAAATCTCTACATAGTATAAAACAACGTCGCTTCCAGCTGCCCGTACGCTTTGATCTTTTAAACTATGCAACGGATTTTGATGCGGTTTTCACCAATAGACAGAATTATTCAAGAGGAGGGTTTATATGTATAATACATGCATATATTGTCGAGATCCAAAAATCACCCGTACGAAGCCGCGGCGGATCGCTAATTAAATATGTATAACAATAAGTTTATTAAAAATGAGTTATTTTTAGTTAAGCATATAATAGTGAAGTTTATCCATATATTTAATAAGTATAAAGTTTGAGGATAAACTGAGGAATTATTTTTGTACAGATAAAAATGCTTAAAGAAAAATACTGTATAGTAAAATAAGAAAAACAATTTGTCGATAATTTTTAGTGATGGGCCGAATATGGATTTCACCTAATACGAATATTCGGCCAAAAGTTCGGTAAAACATTTACCGAACCGAATATTCGGCCGAACGTTATTCGGCAAGATCACCTCGGTACCTAACGAATTTATGTCGAAACTTGTTACCGTAAGGCACGCGGGACTAGCGTAGGACGCTGCCCCTCGCTCCCCGCCACACCTGACATATTATTGCATCATCTACTACCTGAGCAAATTACCATGCTTGTTTTGACTATTTTTGATAAAAAAGAGTACTCTATGATCTACTATTTGGACTTATTTTAGAGAAACTGACGACCAAAGTGATGTGAAATGTACTAATGTAATGTAATGTTTCTTTGTTTGATTCCAAAAACATTTTATCAAGCTTTCTATTTGCTATGATTGGACTATTTGCTATGATTGGAAATAAATCTACAGTGTCTCAAAAACATAACGCTATACAAGTAGAATTAACCCATAAATAAAATATACTTTCAACAGTAAAATTATGAAAGACATGGCATTACTTAATTCGTACATTGGACACTTTGAATACCACTTTAACGAATGTTCGGCGATTTAGCCGAATATTCGGCCGAATACGAAAATTCGGTAAAGCTGCTGGATACCGAATATGAATCGCATATTAGGTCCATCTCTAATAATTTTAATATTCTTCATCATCATTATAGCCCTTTACAAAATTACTGTTGAACATCCTCTCCAGCCTCCCCCAAGAAATGCAACTAAATACGGTCCTGTGCCACCTGCATCCATCAACTTCCTGCATGTTTTACCATGTCGTCACTCCATCTAGTGGAAGGTCGCCCTACACTTCGCCTACCGGTACGAGGCTGCCCTGCACTTGATAACCTTCTTTTCTCACCGGTTGTCTGTTCTTCGAGCTATATGGTCGGCCCATTGCCACTTCAGCTTACTAATCCGTTGGGCTATATCGGTCGCTATAGTAGTTCTACTGCGGATATCCTCATTTCTAAATTTATACGCAGAGAAACTCAGAGCATAGTCCTGTTAATAGCTTGTTGAGTGACCTTGAGCTTTCTCATACGGTCAGCAGTGAAGGACCACGTCTCAAGACCAAAAGTCATCACTGGCAACACGCACTGGTTGTATAATCTCATTTTCAGGTTTTGATATACCTGACGAGATGTGTCGTAATTTCCCGAACGCTATCCAGCGTTGAATCGGTCGCTTGACCTCTCGGTCGAAGTTGGACTTACCTAGTCGGAATATTTGTCCCAGGTAAACATACTCGCCAACAACTTCTAGCTTAGTGCTCCCAACTACAGAGGAGTGATGTACTCGCCATTGATGTTAATGCCATATCATTTCCAGTCCAGTAGGTTGAAAACGTCATCCAATACAGCAGTGAAGAGCTTCTCGAACATAACGTCACCCTGTCTTTCACCTCTCTGCAGTTGGATAGGTTTCGTACTACGGTTCTGTACTCTGTACTACTGTACAAACACATCAGTACTTCGACATACCGACAGTCGACTTAGCACCGCTGAAGTGACTGTAGCACCGCCCAAATTTCGACGAAATCAAAGGCTTTCTCATAGTCCACAACGGAGGACAAAGTGGCAGATTGTACTCTTTGTTACTGTACAATTTGCCGAAGGGTTTGGTTATAAAGATTTTCGGAAACCGGCTTGTTCGGAATGCTGGAAGTAGTCGAATCTGCGTGCGAGACGATTCGTAATGACTCTCGAGACAAGCACGTAGACGCGGCTCAGAATAGAAATACTGTAGTTCTTCAAAAGAGCGTTGTCGCCTTTCTTGAAAAACAAAACCACCGCACTATTGTTCCACGATTCCGGAGTAGTCCCACCATGGAAGACGGAATTAAAGAGCTTCTGAAGGACTTCAAGTACCGTTTTTCGAACCGCTTTCAGGAGCTCCGCTGTAATTCCATCCTCGCCTGGGGCCCTGCCGTTTGTAAGGTGCTGGAGAGCCATTCTAATCTCGCTCAGACTGACGTCCGGGATATCATCGGAATAGTGTCTGGTAAGACTTGCTCTTGTATTGTTACTCACACTTGCGTGTGGCTCCAACGATGACGTGTACAGCTCTGCCCATATAACCTCTCAATCTTACTCGAAATCTCCAGTGTCCCGGAAATGGTGATATCACACTTTCTTTTTTGCAGACAGACAGATTTCTGCAAAGACTTTGGAGCCCTGGTTCTGCTTGATTGTTTCTTAAATACGAGCTGTATTGAAATCGCGTAAGTCCCGCCGCATGCATTTGGAGATCTGCCCGTTCAGTTGCCGGTATACTGCCAAATTTGCTGAAGACTGCAGCTTCGTTTCTCTTCTAACAGCCACGTGATTAAGAGTGTGATCAGATCAGTTTTTGTGTTCTTCTGCGACGGGTTTTACAGAATTTAGTTCCGACCGCACGGACAGTTTCTACGGGCTTGTCTTTCATATCGTCCACTGTATTCCAGTTTTCTAGGCATTGAAAACGGTTCTGTAACTCGATCTGAAAGTTTTCGGGACTTTGGATTAGAGCACGAGGGGTATGGAGCTTGTGCCTCTAACCATTCGGTGATCGCTGCCAGTTTTTACCCTCGCGATCATTGAGACAACAGTTGCCGTCTAGTCATCATAATGAAGTCAATCTCATTTTTTATCGAACCGTCGGGGCTCAACCAGGTCCACTTCCTGTGGGGCTGCTTTTGGAAGAAAGAGTTCATCATAAACAGTCCTTCTTTCTATATGAAGTCGGCCAGCGGCTTGCCTCTTGGGTTCCATTGTGCTATACCGAATTTCCCTACTTTATCGCCTTTAACGACACCCAGGGCAATATCACCCACTACATGGGTTAATCCATTCATTCATCATTAATTACAGCTTATTTCTGGGCTATATACAAAAAAAATCCAATGCTGAACTTAAGCCAGCCACATAGATTGCCTCATAGAGGGAATATTTGCCATAGTAGTATGCGTGGCAGGTTGGTTGACAATCAGTTTTTTTTTATTATTTTCAAGATATTATCACGAAGATGTTGCTGCCCATCTCTTGTTTCGGTTCGGTTTCGGTTCGACAACCACGGGATTGACTTGAGATAGTAGATTATTTTACGACAGCATTACTTAGCAATTGGTACTTTAATTGCAAAACTGTAAATTCACTTTTTCTCATGATGGTACCTGCGCAGTACACAAAGTACAATGTTCGCCTCACTAAAGCGAATTTAAATTTTGCACGTACTAAACGCTGGTATTCTGGGGGAGCATGGTTCTTCCTCTTATCATTATTTTATTTAATACTAGCTTGCCAGGCAGACATTGTTCTGCCCTTTTCAACGACGTGTCCTATTAAAAATCCTTAAATTCGCAAAAAAAATTGTGAACTAAAAACTATCCTATCTCTCAAGTTGGACCAAACCACACACGGTGTGCAAATTTGATTAAAATCAGTTAAGTAGTTTAGGGAATACATCGCGGACAAACAACGTGACACATACTTTATATATATTAAGACTAGCGATCTGTCCCGGCTTCGCACAGGTGACATGCAGAATCTACAACAGCGCCATCTACAGTGTTTAACTGTGCCTATAACCTTCGCGGAAGTGCAAACAATATGCTGACAAAGTTTTACTGCAATCTGATGAACGGTATGGCAGCGCATAAAATACGAACAAAGAAACATTAATTTATACAATATATCAGATTTTATTTATTTTTGAACTTACTTCTGCATATTCACATTTTCCTCCTACTTCAAGGATTACTCTACCAGTTTTAATTGGAGTGACATAATGATCAATTGCACCCTTGCCGCCTCCCATTCGCTGACCTTGACCCTTTTTCGTGACAGGCTGCCAAGGTGGGTCTACACGCCAAATAGCAAACATCCTTTTCATATCCAAATGCCGGGCAACAACCAAACGTGCCATCTCAAAATGCTTATGAGCAAGTCTTCCTCCACTAAGCGCCTGTAAGTAAAATTGTGTAAACGAATTTAGGTATACCAAAACGCTTAAATTTGTTCTAAGTTTAACAAATTTGGTTAATAAGCAAAATTGTAGACAAGTAAAGGAGAAAATGATTAAAAAAATCTTAATTATAACAAACTTTTCTTTATTACTTTTTCACATGTACACTATAGCAAGTCATCTTGTTTACGTTAGACATAAAATAACCAGGGCATCGACGGGTAACAGCATCGAAGGTGTGATACGTCCGGTACTACAATCGTCAAACTGCTCGCCAAGCGTAAGTATTAAGGGCCTATACTACCTCAACTCAAATTCTAACTCTAACTTCGCCCCCACTTCGCGCGCCGTGTGCTATCTACCGACACGCTTGTGATCACTAATTATATAGATGGGTCGTTAGCTACTTATCTCATTAGATTTATCATATTTATGCCTGTTTTTTTTATACCAACCCAGTCAGTTCTTATTTTTATTACGGTTATTTCCAATTTTAATTTTACGTCGCCCTGTTACGTAATGTGTATTCTGATCGTAAGCGACACAGCTTTCCCGTTCGAAAGCCGAAGCGAGACTGAGCGGGAGTATCGGGCGGCAGGGAACAAGCTTCAGGACGCCGATAGTTTAGGTAATTTTTATTTTACAGTGAAAATAATGGCAATTAAAAAAAAACATAAGCCCTGTTTCATAGTTCAGTTAATATGCAAAGTTTCATGATCGAATTTAAAGTATTTTGTGAATACCAGCGGTTTATTGTTTGGTTCGGAGATAACTTTGGATTTTTTCTATCGAGAAAATTTTACGGAATCGTGTTTTCGTCTAACATAGTACTTAAGATTAATCCTCAACTTTACCATATATTTATTTCAAAATGAATGCTGCAATATTTTCTGCATAACTGAGGATCTTGCTAACCCTTTTGAGGTAGTATATGCCCTTAAGACAAATCCCCACTTCTACAAAAGAAACCCACGTCCAGAAGTGAACTTTGATGTACTTATGAAGAAGAAAATGCATATTTAACATCTTCTACGAATCCTGCCCACGCAGTTCGAAAGATGCGGAGAAATCTAGGTGGAAGGAAGGGTCCTTTATGGCGTACTGACTGGAGGTAATCGGTGAACATATTACCTCCAGTCAGTACGCCAGAAACAAACAGAAAGTGACATTAGAGTCACTGACTAGGTATGAATTACTTGCTCACACAGGTGCATTATCCATTGGAATATGGAATGCATGAGTGATATGGAACTGTACTAACCATAACTTATTTTTCACGAGGGAGGCGCTCTTCCAACCAGATAAGACACATCAGTTTTATTTTTCACGCGGATCTTAGTTTTAACATCTTTACCATAATGGATTTCCACACCAAGAATGCCAGATTCTATTAATTATCTTAAAAAAATTGTCAATGTCAAACATTGGAGTCAGTGGTTAAAAACAGTATTCCAGAGCATTACAAGCATTATTAGCATTACCTCTGGTCTGTGGAAGATGAATTAACGATACTAACCGCTCCACAATAATTCAAGCGGACCAATCAACAAATCGATTAAAAATCGCGTTATCAAGGTTTATGAAGAAACTGCCTATTTAAAAAAAATGTACTACTCACTATTATAAGGAAAGCTAACAAGGATAATCGGATATCCTCGTTGAGAGACGACAATCGTACCAGAACAAATGAAATTACTTATTACATTTACTACACTAATGGCTAAATACTCAAACGCTACTCAATTTTTTTGCATTTTTTTGCTTTGACTTTAAGTGATAGAGAGAGCATAAAATTTAACGGCATCTTAAAATTGAACAACATTTTAGTACTTGGGCATTAGTGATAAGACCTATTCTTTACTACCAAAGAGTCAGCTTGAGTTAGTAGCGCCACCCTCTTAATTAATAACAGACTAATGTGTCTATCTACTCTCTTTGTATGAAGTGACAGACATAGCTACTTTTTTTAATAAGGTTGACAAACAAGCACACAGTCCACCTGATGGTAAGTTGACGCTGTGGCCCATTGACATCTACATTTATCCTCGATTAATTATTATTATTATTACTTAACAGGCTAGCAGTTGGAACAACTGATGTAAGCCCGTATCCTATTTTCAAATATGTAATTATTCTTATTTTAGATGTTTGTCTAATCTATTCTTGAATTGGTTAATAGTTTGTGCAGATATTACTTCTGATGGCAGTTTATTCCATGCTTCAACCACTCTTTGGCTAAAAAAGTGCTTGTGTGGGTTGTTATGTGACACGGTTTTGGTTAATTTGAAGTGATGTCCCCTAAGATGTGTGTTTGTTGAGTACTGGAATAAATCTCTGTCAAAATTTTACAGATCGTAGTGTCCATGTATAATTTTATATGCTTCGATCAAGTCTCCCCGTTTCCTGTGATCCTTCAGTGTCGTTAGTTTAAGCTTTCTTCATATGGTATGTTTTTCAATACTCTATGGACCTTTGAAAATCTACCTTGAACTTTCTCCAGTAACTCAATATCTTTTTTGAAATAGGGGCTCCAGATTTGGAACGCATACTCCAAAATAGGTCGAATGTATGCCTTATGTATTTTTAGCATCATTTCTGGCGTAAGGTGTCTGAAGGCTTTTCTAATCAGGTAAATAAAACTATTTGCTTTTTAGTTATAACCGTTATATGATATTTCCATTTTAAATCGTTACTTATATGCACACCTAAGTCTTTTTGACTTTTACTTCAAAACTTTAACTTCTTCCAAAGTTATATCATCGATTTTATATATGAAACGAGGGTTTCGGTTTCCTATATGGAGGACTGTGCATTTATTTATATTTAATTTAATAAGCCACCATTTTTACCAATCTGATATTTTAATTAGATCTGCTTGAAGGCGATCAAAGTCCACTAGTGGGTTTGGGAATATCTTCGTGTCATCAGCGAACATACTTACACTACAAATCAAGCCTTTTGGTAGATCAAAGCTAAACAGTATAAACAATACCGGTCCCAGTACAGAACCTTGTGGCACACTGCTTTGTATTTCTTTTTCATCTGACAATGTGTCGCTAATCCTTACTCTGAAGGTTCTTTGTCGTAGAAAACTCTCAATCCAAGTTAACAGTTTCCCTCGAACACCAAAAAATTCCAATTTATGTAAAAGCCTGCCTATTGGTACTTTGTCAAAAGCTTTTTCGTAATCCAGATATATAACATCTATTGGTTCTCGATCATTTTGACTGATGACCCAGGATGATAAGCAAGACATCAAGCTGGAAATCGTTGATCTATGAGGACAGAAACCATGTTGCTGTTTGCCAATAGTTTGTTGTTTGTCAAGGTTTGTCAACTGCCTCTTGTGCTTAACTATTATCTTTTCCATGACTTTGCACACCACACTAGTTAAGCTTATCGGTCTATAATTTGCAGGATCTAATTTGTTTCCCTTTTTTGTAAACAGGAGTCACTAAAGCCGTTTTCCATAAATAAGGCAAAACTCCTTTGTCATATGATTTTTGCATTACTGATGCTTGGTAACTATCAATTCCGCAGTTCTTTAAAACATGTACGGGTATTTCGTCGGGACCAGGTGAAGAGTCTATATTCATTTCTTTGATAGCAGCTTGTACTTTGGATTCTGTGAACATGTCCTTTATAATATATATATGATGTCCTTTATAATTTCAGTTGCTCTTAGGTTTGGGTCTAGCGCAGTAAGTTCTTCTAGTGGTTCTCTTTCAAATACATTAGAAAAATGTTCTGCAAATACTTCCGCTATGTCTTGAGAACGTGTCACAGATTGCCCATTACTGTTCCGTAAAATGTTTGGTGTACTAACTTTAGAGGTAATTTGCTGCCTGATGTACGAGTAAAATTTCTTTGGTCCTAGATCTAATAGTTGATTTTCGTAAACTGCCCTTGCTGTGCGCCTTAAATTAGTCAGTTTGTTATTTAGCTTCCTGTATTCCCTATAGATTTTATCTGACCCTGTTACAGTATATCTCTTCCAAAGAATTTTTTTTTCTCTTATTAACTCAGATATGTCATTTTTTATCCATGGTTTATTTACTTTGCTAAATGTTTTTACAAGAGCCACACCTAAGGGCTAAAATGGAATGCCTCGTTTCCAGTAAAAAAGGATCTCCGTATCTCTACACTCACCATACAAAACACTCTGATATTCTGTGAGAGTGTGGTCCTTCCCCGGTCGAGTCGACCCATTCGTGCTACAAACATAATATAGCTGCAGTGGGGCTCTTTTTTAATACAATAAGGGTAACAAACATGCACATAGTTCACCTGATGGTAAGTGGATGCTGCTGCCCATAGACATCTACATTTATCCCCGATAATATATTTTTTTGTGACAAACGAGCACACAGTCCACCTAATGTTAAGTGGTTGCTGTGGCCCATAGATATCTACATCTATCCTCGATTACGAATCAAAATGCAGATGCGTTGTCACCCGTGAGGACTAAGATGGAATGCTTCGTTTCCAGTAAAATGGGTCTCCAGTTCTCTACACTCACCATACGAAATACAGCAGCATTAAGCTACAATTTCATGCTGGTATTCTGTGAGAGCGTGGTCCTTCCCCAGTTGAGCCGACCCATTCATGCTACAATTATACATCTAACTGCAGCATGGCTCTACTACATATATCCTCGATAAAGAATCAAAACGCAGATGCTGGTACAACACAACTGCGTTTTGATCTTCTCCGGATCTCAACACTCACCATACGAAACACAGCAGTATCAAGCTGCTATTTTATGCTGGTATTCTGTGATAGCGTAGTCCTTCCCCGGTCGAACTGACTCCTTCGTGCTACAACTATAATTTAGCTGTGGCGTGGCTTCACTTGCATCCTATGGACTGCTAACTCATTTGTTACTTTATCATTAAAATGAATTCCTCAGTTTTCCTTAACAACATAGTACTTATCATAAATATTTTGTTGTGTTTAATTATTATCAGCAACATAACTTAACAAAAATGGACTTACAATAATGCCATACTGTTTTAATTGTAGCTTGTTGTGCAATGTTTCTGGACCTCTCATATATCTTAATCTTTTCTGCATCTTTGGTGGTTTCAAATTTGGTGGATACAATGGCACCTTTTCAAACATGCGCAACCTTGGACGTTCGGGTATTTCAATATCTGTAATAAATATTGTCAAATCTTTAACAGAAACATGAAACAACTATGAAGTATTTTATTGGTTGCACCGATCGAAGTAATAACTGGGGTATGCAAAAAGATTTGCGCAATTCAGAAATAAAACTATTTGTATGAAAAATAATGTATTTTCTGCTTTTAAAAGTATTTTCAATTATACTTAAGCACTTAATCATTTGTTCAAACCATTTTTGAAAACATAAGGACTATTCATAAGGTCTTAGAGTGTGTTTTCCATGTGCTGGTTGAGGTTATAGGCAAGTTCTTCTTCTACAGCATCTTTTAGAAAATAAAAGGGCGCATGGTGCGGTCTGGATTGATAGTGGAATGGGTCACGGACTCCACCTTTTCAGGAGGCAAAAATGACTTTGTCTTGTTCGTGGTGTGCCTAAGCAAGATGCAATTTCTTGGTAGTTTTTCCCTAACTTTCTCAAAGAAACTGGGTAAACATTGTGATAGTGTAACATTAATTAAAAAATTGTAAAATTAATCATTAACTGTCTTTTGCACATCAACGATACCATTGTGCAAGCAAGACCTTCCTGGGAATAAAAAAGAAATCATTTTTTGCCAACGCACACCACATGTCAAACACCCACACAGAAAACTGTTGCTTTCGTTTCAGAATGTAACAATAATTCATGTTTCATCTCTTGTCATATTAATACTGAACATTTGAAATGTCTCATCTTCATTATCATGATCATTACAGCCCTTCACAAGTCCACTATATAGACCTCTAAAGCACAATATAATGCTATCAGAAATTTATATTTAAAATTTTAAAGAATTTCCTTTTGTATTCTGTTTCCTTAATGTGTATTTGGTTTGATTAGCAACATAGCCACTATATTTTAACATACATATACTAATGATTAAGCTACATTAAAGTATAGAAAATGAACAAAGGTAATATTTTCTTATGGTATTTTTCTCCGCTCCAACTATATCATTTTCAAACAAGATAAATTTTTATTAAAATTTTAAAAAACAAAAGAGATAAATTTTAGCTATTCATTTGCATTACAATTGTCATTAAATTTGTATAAATATGAAGTGAAATGTAAAATGCGAGACTAATCAGTTTTCACCTTTAACTATGCACTGCACCTTTTAGGAGTTTTTGCTTATTGGTTTTTAGCTTTTAAACAAGTAACATTCTAGCAACTTGATGACTATCAATTTGTATTGAGCTGCATCTTTTTAATAAGCAGATGGGCTGTAAATTCTAGATTGATGGTTTTCGCTAGCCTTTCATAGGATTCTTAATCTTAATTCTCAATCTGAATTATAAAATAATTGAATATACTTACTGTCATAGTTTTTTGGAGGAGGAAAGTATTTTATTCCTGAAGAGCATGTTATTTGAATACAATCTGGTCGTAAGAACCCTGAAAAGACAGCAAAAGTTTGTTCTGTAAGTTAGACAATGACTACATTATGACTTTTGCATTCAGCATTTGAGTTTTTAGCCATTAGTGTAGTAAATGTAATAAGTAATTTCATTTGTTCTGGTATGATTGTCATCTCTCAACGAGGATATCTAACTGCCTTTGTTAGCTTTCCTTATAATAGTAAGTAGTACATTTTTATTAACATAATTTCTTCATGAAACAAAAATGTGAAAAAACACACATATGTGTTAAATTAAAGTCATAATTATATAATTTTTTATTAAACTCAGAATATTATTAACAGACCACTGTAGACCTGATTTTGACTCATTGGCAAGGAATAGACCCCTTCATGGTTATTCCTCTATACACCACTCAGAAGTAGGCGCCCTGCAAAGCGGGGCTCTGTCGACCGGCTTCCCTCGACTGCACCAAGTTGAGTGGCGTGGGGCTTCCGTCTCTTACTCTCTCTCCTCATAAATCAGGTTAAAATTATCAAAAAAATTACGGCAGGAGACGGAAGTAGGAGGCGACTATAAAACTCCTCCTCGTGACTAAATTGTAAGCCTTACCCTAGACTTCTCCATAGATACCTGAGCGACTTCAAGCTTCTCAATGCGACCAGCATTGATGTAATACGCTTCAGTTCCATAATCACTGGCAACTGTGGCAACTGTGGCATCTTTATTGAGTTTGGATATATCTATGTATGTAGAATATTTCTATTCTCAATCAATACAAAAATTCACAAGTAATAAAGTAACTTATTAACTTACCGAGAGTTTGTCTAAGACTCCTAATCAGCATTTTGTGTTTTTAAATATATAATGTACTCTATAAACAGTTTTATCATAAAGCAATAATCTTCTATATTTATATTAATTTTTATTTAACATTACGAGACGACGTGATCTGAAATATATCTGATTTGAATTTGACATTTTGACAACATAGATAAATAAATGGGTGCGTTTGGCAGAAAAAAGCGCTAGCAAGCGCTTATAAGCAAAATGGCGTTCGTAAGCGGTAAGCGCTGTCAAATCGTAAGTAGCTATTTTCCTCCAGGACACGATGTTAGTTTTAAGCGGGGATTCTAACCTAATTTAAATATATGTTTGTAAAGTATTCATATTAAAAACTTACCAATAATGAGTTTTTAATAGCATGTATATATTTATTCATGTCATTATGTTACTTAAAACTAATATTGCACAAAACAACTTATAAACTCTACTTCAAAACAAACAAATTAAATAAGCAAAATGGCGGATTGTGTCAGCGCTACTGAAGTAACAATCGTGTCCTGGCCGAAAACTATTTTAGCGCTTATAAGCGCTTGCTAGCGCTTTTTCTGCCAAACGCACCCAATGTTGTATATATAATGGGTGCGTTTGGCAGAAAAAAGCGCTAACAAGCGCTTGTAAGCAAAATGGCGATCGTAAGCGGTAAGCGCTGTCAAATCGTAAGTAGCTATTTTCCTCTAGGACACGATGTTAGTTTTAACCGGGGAACCCAACCTAGTTTAAATATATTTTTGCGAAGTATTCATATTAAAAACTTACCAATCACGAATTTTTAATAACATGTATATGTCTATTCATGTCATTATATTACTTAAAACTAAAATTGCAAAAAACAACTTATAAACTCTACTTCAAAACAAACAAATTAAATAAGCAAAATGGCGGATTGTGTCAGCGCTACTGAAGTAGCAATCGTGTCCTGGCCGAAAACTAATTTAGCGCTAGTAAGCGCTTGCTAGCGCTTTTTTCTGCCAAACGCACCCAATATGTAGCAAGTTTTTTTGTTTGACAATTGACAAAATGTTGTTGTTGTTTTTATTATTCGCTCGAGAGAGCAGGCAAAGGAACAAAGCCATACAGCCTTTTTTTAAATTTGAATATATATTAGAATTTTGAAGTGTAAAAGCCGGAAACAATTCTTATTTTTCTTCTTTTTATCGCTTCAAAGTCCATAAAGGCCGAAGCCAAGTCTTATTTTCTTTAATTCTTCATATTTTCAAAAACCACAAAGGCTAAAGCCAAAGTCTTCTTTATATTATAATCTTTATAAGTTTCAATCCATATAGACTTATCAGTCCAGTTTCAAGGTTCCCGCGTTATTTTTCTTTTCTTCACAATATGCTGATGTGTTACATTGCGAAGGTCTTGGGAGATTTTGTCGACAGCTCAACCCAGCTGACAGTTGATGACGACAGCCACTCAAGTTCATAAGGCGCCTAAGCGATCGAAATAACTTGAGGTTTATATCGACATCAAAGCACTTGTTTCGTCGTTTTCTCTAATAGTTCACACGTGCAGACAATAAATTCACAAAATCACATAACTTTTACGAATTAAAATCCACTTCAAACACTGACCTCTATATATACAAGTACGCTGGACTGGCTATACACTGTGACATGCTGAAGCGATTTGATTTCCGCCATTTTGGCGCTGACAGTAGAAGTGCACGTCCACGGAACTAATAATAGGGATGAGACAGTGTACCAAATTATATCGATAAAAATTCTATACCCTACCTATACCTAAATAAATAAAATAGACTCTATGGATAGATGGACTCTACCCGTAACGTCCATTCTATTTATGTATCATATTAATATAATGCCATTATCATTCATCATCATTAAAACTCTTCACAAGTCCACTGCTGAACATAGGCCTGACTCCGTCGATTGACCTCTCGGTCGAAGTTGGACATACTTAATCGGACTATTTGTCCCAGGTAAACGTACTCGTCAACAACTTCGAGCATAGTGCTCCCAACAACTACGGGCATAGGTGTGACATGGACATTAAACATTATCTTTGTTTTGTCCATGTTCATGTCCATCATCTTAAGACCCATCCATTGGGAGGCACTATTGAGTTCATTGAGCATATTGCTTAAGTCGTCCTGCGAATCTGCCATAAGGACTATATCGTCGGCAAATCGAAGGTGAGTGACTATTTACTTGAAAGTTATAGAAAGTTATATATCATTCTAATTCAATGATTGTATTATCATTCCTAATTAAACAATATAAGAACTGTTCCACATTTTTAACGATATTTCCACAATTATTTCTTCTGCGGCAGCAATGCGCCGGGTACGATTATATAAAAAATATAAACTTTGAATTACATAGTTATCAGTTATTTACAACGTCATTTTCGAAATTGAAATTACAATATTTAAAAAAAATAACTGAAATTATCATAAAGTCCTACTTTCTATGGTATCGTCCCAAGAATGATGGCTACGTGTCCTCACTGAATGGCTATACTTGGCCTTCAAGCGAGGAAACAACGAACTAAACAACTTCTAAAGAACGGTTTTTTAGGAACTACACCGCACGTGCACCCTACGGACCAATAGTCTCTACGGAAAATTGCACAAATATGTACTTATCTTCCAGATACTCTGTGCTATTTACTTGGTTCAGTTGTCTCTAATGCCACCCCTGCTTTAGACGAGATACCCCTGAGATGGGATGCTGTCAAAGTGTTCGCAAGTAGTATCCCATACTAAAGCTTTATCTCTCTCTCTCTCTCTCTCTCTCTCTCAAGCAACTAAACCCATACCGTCGGGTCTCCTGGTATCGTCTCTAAATATTCTACAAAGATCTTAAACCGAGGAAACATTAAATTATAGAGATACGAGCTGCACTACGGACTCCCCGAGCCCGATATGTGAATGGAGCCAGGAAAAAACGAGCACTTGGAAGCAGCAAGTGGTGCAGCCTCACCAAAGTCGCGAAAGATAGTCGACTGGCCCATCGCCAATCGTCATACCAACACTCCTCTTCCCTTACGACTCCACCTCGACTACAGCGGTCCAGGGAGAGGAATATCCTCTAGCCGCAGCCCTCTAACACACATACAACGTGGCTCGACATCATCGGGCGATCTTTCGACACTTGGCTATGGCCCTTGAGTTTGGTAGAAAATGAGGAAAGAAGAAATAAAAAAACATTCGAAATAATAATCTAATACTTTTATACTTACTGGTACTGGTACCAGAAAATATTGTCGGTATACTGCACTTTTTCAAAGTGGTGCAGTTCTCATGTCTAATAAAACAGTCGTCTGTAAAATGTTTGGAACAAATATGATCATTTTGTTTCGGACGCCAATTCACAATATTTATGCTTTTAAGCCATAATTTTAGTCTAGGTTCAGTTGGAAACCTGTTAATTAAATAAACATTTGATAGACATCCGTTGTTGGCGATTTTGTATGTTAACAGATATGAGTAAGAAAGAACATCGATAAGTATTATAGACAAGGAACTCGACAAGCCTATTGAATTTTATTGTTTATCAAAACTCAGTAATATACACCCAAACATGTTGGTATATATGATATTAAGATTAGTAACAATTTTTAAGTACTTATATTATCAAATAGTTTTAATTTTTTTAATATTTGATGCAAATTCACTTACTTGTGAAATGTTATACCACTTCGCTTTTGGTAACGATTTTTACAGATTACGCACACTCTCATTATTAATAAAAATAATTTTTATTATGTAACTAATATTATACACAATCAAACAACAAAATACTTTCGTTTTTTAGTTTAAAAGTTCAAAATACAGACTTATGAAATAAGACAATATAAATAAGACAACAGACTTTGGCATATTATGTCAATTTTATTTTTCAAGACATCCTTTAGCGGCGCTTCAAATTGGCACAGTCATTTTGTATGGTATAGCCAGTCCAGTGTACTTGTATATATAGAGGTCAGTGACTTCAAACCATTACTCAAGCGACAAAACAGGAGCGACAGTCCGTCATCGGCCAAGTTCCTGCCAAAACTCTCCAATAGACATGCATCATTTATGCATGATTCGTTCGTTTGAACTGGTACACTTAAAAGTATTGATGGTTCATTCATTTGTTTATGAATGTACCAGTACAACCAATCACAAACGATGGTACCTTTTTAACTTGCGATTTGTTTGAATTGTGAATGAGCCGCAAACCGACCGAATTCCGAATTATCTGAATACACAGGCGAATCGAATTAACAATGCCGACTGCGGAGTATCAGGAGTATTTATTATATAAGGGTTTTTTTATTATAATATTGTTACCTAAATTAAAAATTATTTTACATTTTATTATATTTATTTGTTACATCTTGAGTTAAAAATATCATTTCGTTGAGTTTACTAAAAATAACAATTCAAAAGATTTCATGATAAATGATTTATTTAATATGATAATTTTCAACCATCTTATATAAGTATAAGATAGGTAAAAGTTTAATTTTGTAGCAAATAAATGTTACAATCCCTATTTTTAGACTTGTAAAGTAAGATGAAATTGTGTATTGTTAGGATTGAAATTTAAGAATAAACAAATTTACTAAATATATGATAACTTGAAGTTTTTGTGTTTGTGCCATCTAGCGTCGATTGTACTTACCTCCTTGAAAGTCAATAAGTTTTAGTTCAATAAAATGACTTTATTACCTATAGCATGTAGTAGATGGCGCTATTACAAATCTCAAATAGAAAATCTTCGGTTCCCGATAGATCTCACAGACTCACAGTACTAGAGCCTGAAATGATCCATTTGAATGATCGATCAGAATGTAAAGGTACGCGTGACGAAATGTACTATGAATGATTATAGAATGATTCGGTCGCTAGAAACGAATGGTTGACACATGTCTACTCTCCAATTGACAAATGACAATGATGACCAAAATTGACATTTGACTAGTGTTACCAACTCGAAGTTTGTCGCGGAGGTAAATATAATTTCAGAAGTAGGTAGTTTCCTAACCATC